AAAAAAAAAAAAAAAACATATAACTAAGTGAAGGCACATGATCTATGGCTAACACACAACCATTAACATATGTAACTTGAACCACACAGTTTTTTCTGCAATTAGACCATACCTTACCACAAGTTTTAAAATTAATCCTATAAATCATAGTCAATAAAACCTTTTTTTTTTTAATCACTGATGATGGTGGAGGAGGACCAAATGCAAAGATATGGTGTGCCGAGGAAAAATCACGACGGGCACGCTGCACCTGCTCAGAATATTCACTAGTAGGCATACATACATGTGCTTCATTCTCTTTTTTCCTACCTTTCTTGTTTGCTAATTGTTTTTAGCAAAATTTGGTTGGTCTTTGTTCTTAAATTAAATATTAACTTCCACAGTTCAAATGTTGTAGACAATATTTCTCAAAACTTTATGTCTTGAGAACGTCAAAGATCCAAGTGCAAACCATGAAAACCACACAAAATTAATGTTACCGGCGAGGAAAAAAGTACATAGAATATATTTATACAAGCATTGAAAGACATCTTGATCTTCTACATTTCAACTACAGACACATACATACATCAGAGTACACACACACACACACACGTTCAATTATACATATGCATACATGTATATTTGACGACTCATTTGACCCTTCATGTCCTCGTAGAGCACAAAAAAATAATTAGAAAAATAAATAAAAAAATTTACGCCCAAAGATCACGTACTCATACAAGCACACCCACATGGATATATGTAAATCTTTATGGTTAAAAACAAGGCTAGTGCTCATATGGGTAGGATGAATTTTACCAATATATCCCTACTCTACCTGAAATACCAGTGGTCCACACTATTGTTGCTTTTATTTGCTGTGTTTGCAAGTTCAACACCCCTAAAACATCAAAATCATTGTAAAAAGAGGTCTATGCAAAGTTTGTGAGGTCTCACATTGGAAGGGCCCTCTAGGCCCCCAATCACACATGGTTTTCTCAACACAATGTGACAGTGACACAGATTTTGGCCACTGCCATCATTGTTATCGATGGGAAAAAAACTTAAAATACAAGTACAACTCAGTTTTTGATTCGCTTTATCATTGGAAGATCAAGTGTTCCAGACAAGATCTTCAATCCTAATTGACTTGAACTCAATATATTTCTAAACATAGGGGGGGCTGATCTAATATTCTACAACGATACAGCAGAAAAAAATAATATTCGGACAAAGGATGCATATCATACTTCAAAAGCTCTAGAAGCATCATTCACTGTCAAACAACTTTCAGCTTTATTGATTTTGAACTCTAACACTTGAGCAAAATATGTACGATCACAATAAGAACAGATTAGTCGTAAGAAAATCGGTCAGAAGCCAAATCCATGCCAAGTTATTCGACCAACAAAAATTTCTCTGGTGTGCGCTAACTTCTTGCTCCAATTGCAAATACACAAATACGAGACTTCTCATTAGGAAAACATACATTTCCATTATACCATACTATATCAACAATAACATTCACTGTCTACATAAAGAAAAAGAAAAATCCAAGTTTAACTCTTCGCCTTTCCTAGTCTTACCCCCCACATCAGACATTTTATAGCCATTTTCAAATTCTACGCCAATATAAAGGAAAATGTGAAAGGGGATTGATCTTTCTTAATTTGCTTTAATGATAGCAACTTTGAGAACTGGAGCAGTTATGCTGGCTGAGGATGGTGGCATCTAATACAGAAGAAGATTCTTCCCTGGTATACCCAAAACTTTTCCAAAGGGAGAACTTAAACGAAGGATAACCAGACAAAAAGGTGCCTCAAAATCACTGTTGGCAGAAACTAGAAAGCGATTTCTTGAAGAATTTGAAGAGTGTTCTGGTGAACCTGTGACAAGACCAGGGAATTAAATGGTTCATCTTGTCTGCATTGAGGAGGCATTGAATATCGACAAGCTACAAAACTAAATTTCGCTCTTATTTCTTTGGCACATAATAATACTTATGCTGAAACAAAGAGGAAAAAATGCAGATTAACCTGAGGGTTTTTGCAGTAATTACAAGGAAGTGAACGGGACTTTCAAAGTTGAAAAGAAGTCCCTGCCTTAATATAAAGGGTTAACTGTAAAGTCTTTTTATTGTAGTAAAGGGACTTCTGAAATGCTCTTTAAAGGATGAAAATAAAAGGCCGAGTCAAACCTCGAGAGAGTTCTTGTAATATTATAACATCTCTGAATTATGTTTATGAATTTGAAATAAATAAAGATGCAGCAAAGCATTCAAAAATAATCTGATATTTCACTTGCCCCAAATTGCAGCAGAAGCAGAAACTGAATAACAACTCTCTAGAGTTTGTAAAGCTGTCTATTGATAGTTGGGGGACTACCATAGGCAGTCTCGATAAGCAAATGCAGAACTTGAAGATTCAGAGGCAGCTTTTATATCTATTTGAGAAGGTGCACTTCTTTGAGATCCTCATTCTTTACTCTCTCAATTTACGTAAAAAGTTTTCCGCACAAGTAGCAGGTATCGATTTCTGTTTCTAAGTTAAAAATTTCCCCATAACAGATGCAGTTATTATTTATTAAATCGGACAGTGATTTATAAGACGAGCAGGAAGTTTTTCTTTAAATTTTCAATTGGGAGAGAGAGAGGGAGTTACCCATTCTAGATGCTGTGCGGTAATTCCAGATACATTTCCTTCATATATTCCACCTAAGACCTAATTTCCAAGTAAAGCTGAGATCAGGTAAAGAAAAAAAAAATGACAATCTACTTGCTAAATAAATATAACAATAAAACTCTTATGAAACTCTGACAGAACTTAATTGTCATGTACCGAGGGTTTAAACAGAATATCAATGTATTAAGAAATGCCTTCTGTGGAAAATCTTTAAACTAACATGAATATGAATTGCAAATCCAAAAATGACATTTACCTTGGAAACAGTTTCGAGAAACATGCCAGGTCGGACTGGCAAGGGTTTACGCCCAGTAACGCTAGCCTGAACATCAAAATTTGGAGTAAAAATAATGTTCATGTATCATCATGGATTCATAATCTAACACATCCCTATAACAAGACAACCACCCTGTTTTTCCTTTTTTAGGAAATGAACAGAAAAGCTCACCTTTCCTGCTATTACATCTTCACTCTCAGAACGATCTGCGCCTTCATCTTTTCCTTGCATCACATTTTTTATCATGTCGCGCACAGTCTTCCCCGGTCTTAAGGCAACTAGCTTGGTCAAAAAGTTGACCTGTGATTGTGCAACATAAGGAACAATCACTAGTGAGTCATGAAACTGTAACGTGAATAGATAATATTATTTATTTATGAACTGAAATACAGACCTCTGATTCAGGTAGTGTATTTAGACCACGATCATTTCTTTCATCCAATAATCCGCCTCCCATCATGTTCCTGGCTTCTTCTCTGATCAAAACAAGCCTTGCGAGTAGCTTTCGGTCGGGAACAACAGGACGTGACTCCATTGTCTATGTCCAAAAAATATCAAGACAGAATTAATACAAAATGTAGTCTTTCCTCCATAAAGGCAACTTAAATCAGCAGTGACTGTGAGTTTTTGAAAACAGATATAAACACAAGTTTTATTGAACAATCCTACTATTGTAGAGCTTAAAGTGGTCAACAGAAAAGTTCTATGCATGGTTGCAGGTGAGTGGCTCATTCATTTTCTAAAGCCAAGCATATGGGAATTGTCAGAAATATTATGCAGCATGGCCTACATCAAAGCCTATTACAAATAAAAAATGGTTTCATACATGACAGTTTTCAATGTTTAACGTTCTCAAAAAACATTGTGATAACTATGTAGCAATTATGTGCAGCAATTATGCCTTTAGCCCACAGAGATATTTAACATCACAAGAAATGTTTAAAATTGATGTATTCTACAGCTAAACACAAAAGACGGGTCGTTTTTTGAATACCCTTGTTGGAAGGAAAAAAATAATTTTAAAAAAAATTAAGGCATTGAAATGCAACTGTTAGTAGAAGGACATAGACAAACATAACAAGGCAGATAACAAACAAATCAAAGAAGCAAAGTACTTGCATCGTTGAAGAATCAACCTCAAGGAGATCATCAGCCTGGTTCGCTATTTCATTTAAATTGGATCCTGGAAGATGAACTTTTGTGCCATCCTTACCCTCAAATACGCCACCACCAGCAGCCACTCGTCTCATTAATTCACTTCTGCTTTCCTTCTGGGGAGTTCGGCAAAGCAGACCAACAACTTGAACCTGAAAAACATAGGAGCAAAATTTCAACTCGCATGGGCTTTTAAGAGGAGCTGTAACGACATAGAAAAGCTGTGTCGAGTGGGGTCACACATGGGGCGAACATTTTTTGGTGAGATGCGACAGTACAGTCTCCTTAATAACCTCCAAGAGAGATTTTCTCTGCAAAAGAAATAATGATGAAGCCTGTTAATCATATATTTGTGTGTAGCTAGTAAATATGTCACTTGGATGTAACACATGGATAGAAGCTCCCAGAAAATAAAGAGATAGACACATAAGAATGTGAGTGGGAACAACAAACAACGGGGAGGGTATTTCATGATATAAGATTTAATCTGTTCTAGCAGCCGAATACTCCATCTGCCAAATAACTATAGTTCTAGTCCGACCAAGAGTGTAGAATTTAGATGGAAGTGGAAAAGGTACAAGTTTCAAATAAAAACTAGTCCTGGTGTGAGAACCGCATTTGATGCTATTTATGATTGTCTATGATGCTATTTTCAATATTATATGGTGCTATTATTTCCACAAATGTTAATATAAATTGTGTAACTGTGTTACTATTTTTAATCAAACACATCCGGATTAAAGATAGAATTCAAACACAATCAATCATAGCACTACTATGTACAATTAAAAATAGCGGTTCTCGCGGTTCTCACACTAGCACTTGGTCCTCATTTCAACCACATCCTACATACATATATATAAGTAGGATCAAATGAGAATGGGAGATAGTGAAAGAAAAAAGAATAAAATACAACTGTTGGATACGATAAATTAATGTTAATTTGTGACATTTAGTAACAACGCAATGGCATTTTGGTAATCTGTGTACTTTTCTAAGCGGTGACGTTTTCGTAATTTCATGATATATATCACTTTTCATTATTGTGCCACAGGCAGGATTTACCCTCAGAACTTAATTTTTGGGTCGAGGGTTCAGTATATTATTTTATTTCGGACATTGAAACAATTATGTTATGTATTTATGAATAATATTTAGGTACTACTTGTTGATAGCTTGACTTTTGAACATTTTGTCAGCTCCTATTGTGAGAATATTTAATGCATAATGCAGATCTATAATCCAACTTTGCATTGTGCGTCCGCGGCGCTGATGGGCCTGGGCCCGTTTGAGGGCGGCAATGAGGAGGTGGCTGACCTGGATGTGGCCACAGCGCAAGGGTGAGAAAAAGTCCAATATACTCTATGTTATTGTGCAATCTTAGCTCCTTCTTGGTCATTGAATGTATCAGCTCTTATGGCCATTATGCATACTTATTTCTTTCATTATGAACCATTCTCACAATAGTTTGACCTTTTGCACATAAATACAAATATATAATGCACCTGTCAGAAGATTATAAATTGAAATGTCAAAAAA